CCAACCACAGCGCAGTCGCAAGTAATTCAATCAAACAAATGGTATGCGTACAACCGCCAAAGTTTTTAGACACAAAAAAATGACAGAGAGGGAGGACGAGAGAGGGATAGAGCAAGGGAAGGGACAATTGCTCTGACTAGGACGAGATTCAGTTCGTGGGTATGAGATTTTTAGATCTCAGAGGTTTTTTTAAGAAAAAGAGAAATTATTTTAGATCTAAGAAGTTTTTCGATAAAAAGCTATTATTTTGCCGCTTAAGTGAATAATTTGGTTAAGTGTTGGCCGACTAGGTGATTTTAGATTCCCTCTTAGGGAATTTTTATCTTAGCGTTTAATAAACGCTATTATCTAGTAACCAAGATTACAAACTCATTTTTAATAGCAGTAAGCGAAAATGAGCTATCTAACGTGCTGCTCCTGCAATGATAGCAAACTTGGATTGTAGAACTCCAAACGCACGTTCAACATCCTTCCGACATGATTCTTGTCTTGCTGCAAATAATTTTTTCTTTGGACCTTGAGGATCACTTATAGTCTGAACAATAGTTGACCATTTCGGATAAATGCCATCAGCTAAGTAGTAACCCATGGTGTACTCTTATCCCTGAATAATGTAATTAGGTGGAGGAGCGATAGTTGACCATTTCTTTTCTTTTTTTGTTTTATTTTGTGTAATAAATTTGCTTAATGTAATATTGTTATTGTGTAATATTTGTTTTTAATGTTATGTAATATTTTATATTATTTTAAAGTGTTTCTTTATTTTTATATAAAAAATTAACTTTCTATTTATAAGACAAAAATTTAAGGACTAATATGATAAAATAATAAATTAGTAAAAGTATTTCTAAGATATAAATAATTATGAGGACCAAAATGCAAATAAAAAAAGATGAAACCTCAAATTTGAGGTTTTGAGGTTGCCTTTGGAGAACCAAAAACCTTATATTTGAAGATTTGAGGTTGCCTTTGGAGATGCTCTTAGGGTTTAGTATTTGGTATAACATACGTATTTTTGCAAAAAAAAAAAATCATAAATACGTACATTTTTAAGTGTTAAAAAAAAGCAAAATCCGTAAACTATTTAAAAAATGACATTTTCGTAAGTTTTTCCAAAAAAATGGCATTTTAGACAATAATCCCGTGTTATAATGATGTAATGATACCGGACAGAAATCACATCATTCTTTATAAAACTTTGAATATCTAAAATATTTAGGTTGCCCACACAAATATTAAAATAGAATACCCGTTTAAAATAATACTGACAATGATGTTTCGAATATTTCTCACTTAGTCACACGTTTTCGTATTGACCAAAATTTTTTCACTCCATAGTGTGTAGAATGATGTTACAAATATTCAACCGATTACGGTGATCTCATTTTATCATTGACCTTACATCAAATAAAATACAGTGTTCACTACAAAAATTGTATAAGACGAAAACAAGAAAGAGAAGAAAACCCTTTAATAGACAAAATCAAAACTCTGTACTAATTCTTGAAGAGTTAAAATAAAATCATAATTTTAAATAATATTCTACACGATAAAGAATGAATATTCTGGTGGTATGAGCTGTGAGCAGAAACATCTACGAAGTTGTGTGAGCGAAAAACTCAATGTATATATTTTTGTAAATAATAAAATGCAAAGCAATTTGAAATTTATGGAATTTCATTGGAAATATATAAAAATAATCAAGAAGAAAATGTCTAAATTTTTGCAAGTAATGCTGAAATTTCCTTTGAAATTTCGTGTATGTTTAAGAAAGTAAAGAGGTTTATTTCATAACCTTTCTATATAAAGGACACTACTCTTGCATCTTTTTGGTATCAGTTCAGTTTCACAAAAAAAAAAAAAAAAAGGTATAATGGAGCCTGTTGTTAATGTCATCATTATATTAGGTGCCTGTGGTATTTTCGTGTTGACTGTCATATGTTGTGTCTCCCATAGGAAGAAAGAGCCTTTGTCTCAGCCGCGGGATTTGGAAAAAGGTTTAGCGGGAATAAAAGATGCGAGGACTTGTTGTTTTGACCGGAACAGCTGTTGTAGGTGCGGCTGTAACCACAGCACGTTCTGGCGGTTGCGGCGGTGGAGGAGATGGTGGCGGTTGTGAAGGTGATGCTGTCGGAGGAGATGGTGGTGGAGGAGATGTGGGCGGTAGGGAGGACCAGGCTTCAGTCGCGGGGAAAAGTGGGGATTGCTTCTTTGTTTTTT